GTTAGGCTTAGGGTGCAAACCTGGCACCTCCGACGCCCATCATGAGGGGTGCAAACCTGGCACCTCCGACGCCCATTATGAGGGGTGCAAACCTGGCACCTCCGACGCCCATTATTAGGGGTGCAAACCTGGCACCTCCGACGCCCATTGGTGTCACAGTGTGACAGGGTTATCTCTGAGGTGTCTGACATCGCCGTGCCTTCCCACCCTGGAACAAAGGGAGCCCTGTTTGGCCAGACACACCACCAGGTACCCCACTCACTGCCAGTGGAAACCTCAGATGGGTGGCTTATTTATTCATCAGATGAGAAGATGTCAAGCGACTATTTTTGACTTCTGATCAGAACTTGTGTTATTTTATTGTCTTACTAGTCTGATTAGGGCTGGGACAAAGAGCTGACAGGTCTATGATCTCAAAGCAGCTGGTGTTGCTGAAAGACTGAAGACCTTCTGTGCCACGTGATTCCAAGATCCAACAATGATTAACACTCTGCCAGTGCTGTGCAGTTAAATACTGCTACTGAGACCAAGAGCAAACTTCCTTTCACATTGAATCGTTACCAGTCAAAGAAGGTTTGCAAAGCTGTATGTTAGTGCAACATGGATTACGGGCAAGTAATGTCAAGGGATTCATCTGGCGTAGATTTTTGTGTCTGGATTCAAATGTACAGTTTCCTTCCTGACTTTCAGAAAACAAAAAAACTTAACGCTCAACCATTTTAGCCTGTTTCTGTCTGGGGTGCCGACCTCTGCAGAATGAACAAGACCGCTTGGACTTTCTTTGACAGCTGATGGAGATCACCCTTTGCCGGGCCCTGCTAGCACGGCTCTGCCGCGCTATAATGACGGCGTCCAGCCCGCTATGGTAGTCGAGACAGCATCTCACCCCCTCCCGGCGCGAGCTCCGGCAAGCGAGCCGGTCCACAGGAGAGGTCATCAGCTGCCACCTTCCATCAGCTGCTGACCTGTTCAAGTCTAGAGCAACAACGTGAGCCGAAGAGATCAGTGCTGACCCCTCCCAGTCATCGCATGACAGCTTGGGCTGCTAGAGACAAACCCTAAACACCATCTGGACAGTTCCTTCACCCAAGCTATAGCCACTGTCTTATTAAGTCATCCTCTCTCTCCCAGAATACTGAACAGCACCCAACAATTACATTTTATTTATTTATAAAGAAGACATTTTTATCCAAAGCAGCACAAACCCTCGAAAGCAGAGTCAGACAGTCCAGTCCCTGGAGCAATTAGGGGTTAAGAACTTTGCTCAAGGGCCCAGTAAAGAAGACACTCTGACACCGGGATTCAATCCAGCAACCTTCTGATGACAGGCACAGCGTCCTAACCTGCTGAGTCATACACTACCCATTTACCCGTTTCCTACCTAACACTCACTCCCTATAACCCAGAGTGCACAAGATCTTAGCTTCTCCTTCATAGGACACTGCTTACTTCTCCATACATTTCCACACCACGCAGTTACCAGCACAGATGTCAGACTTTTACAGTAATGTACACCTTGCACAGCAATTGTCTATATTCACAGGCTCACATTCTATTATTTTTTTTGCGAAACACATCATTAATCGAAATCTATATGTGTACCTTTATGTATGTATGTAAGCTAATACAGCACGAATACCAAACCACCAGTAGAAATTTCATCTATATTCCAGTGAAAATGTTCGGTGAATCGAAGTGACACTGATTCTATAATCACCTGTAATAGGCGCCCAGGCACTGGTATGTAAACTCGACCTATGGCCTTACCTGCCAGAGCCACAGAAAGCTCTAGAAGGACTTGGGGAATATTGTGAATAATACACATTTGTTCAGCTGCAAGGGGAGAGAGGTGACAGGTGGAGGTGGGTGAGTTAACTGGGATTTGGAGCACAACGCTGTCCCATTCTGAGCTTAGAGAAGAACAAAACAGCGATAGGAGGTTCAAAGCGGAGAAGGACGAGTGATTCTGTAATTACTGTCACACTGCTCTGCATAGCTAGAAGGACACCGCACACCACTAGAGAGGCTCTAACAAGTATTATTCTTACTCTTGATATGCTGCAAAAGGGAATAAATCAAATTTTGTACAATTTTTTACTGCACTTTTTAAGCTATAGTGAACATGCATTAATCAGTAATGCAGTAATCATAGATGAATTTGCATAATTAACCATAGTGGTCAACCAGATGGTATACTAAACTAAAACCAGCTGTAACTAGAGAGAAAAACAACAGCAAAAGAGCAGAGTGTCCTGCAGCAGCATGCCTCTCGTCTAGTCCGCACTGCGTCTACTCCACACCTCGTCGGCTCCACACTGTGTCTACTCCACACTGCATCCACTCCACACTGAAGGTTTGGTTGTTTTATATAAAAACAACAACATTCTGTTAGATTTATGTTGAAAATTACAGGTAAGGAAGGGGGTGGTCATAGCATGGGCAGGGGGGAGGGGAGGGCTTGGAAGTGTTTATATTCCCTTGTCAAAAACAATAAATTGAGGAGCTTTTAAATTTAATCATCACACTATAAACTGTTCTGTGGGTAATAGCAGAGCAGCTATGAAGTTTTAAATTAAGGCGTTAGAGCATGGTTAAAGTTAAATGGACCGTGAATAAGCGTTACAAGAATATAATAACATAAGAATTAGGATATTTTCTTTTTGTTGGCTGTTACATTAAAAAATAACCCGAGCATTCGTGTGCGTGAAATAACAGCCATGGAGACAGCGTGGGAAATGGGTCGCAGAGTACTTCCTTAGAGTCTTAGAAATCAGGAAATCAGAATTCAGGTCATTTATCGACCAACAGGAAGAGCTGGCAGTTGCGTTGTCTTTGTCCTCAACAAGCAGAGAGAGCCTCATGTGTTCGTAAAAATAGAAGCGTTGTGGCAAACTGTGTTGCATATTGTCATGAAACAATGAGGCAGATGTGCGATTAGCATGAGAAAAGTTGCGAGATGTGCATGGAAGGTTCTCCGGCAGCAGCCAGCTTGGTCAAGCCAATTGTCTGCTCCTGAAAGACGAGAGCATTCCTTATGAAATACAAAAGGCGCATGTTAAACAAAGCGGCTCGCCTAGGCGGGGGAAGGGGGTAGCGGCACTACAGTTAGCATGATGCTACAACTCAAGCTGCGCTAATGGCCACTTGCAGATCCGCACATCGTGTATAGAT